AGGAACTATGGAAATTACAATAAATGAGTGTAACAAAAAATAGGTAAGACATTTTGAAATTACTTTTGAGACTATAAATTGTCATGCCTTTCATTTAAAAAAAAAATTGCCACTTCTTCCATCTAACAAAGCCTTCAAGGCATTCCCATATATACACATCAATTCATTACTTTAATTCAAAATTGAATTAATTTAAAAATACAATATAAATATTACATTCCAATATGTACCATCGCAAGCCCAATGATCAAATTAGCAACTACAGAAATACATAATTTATGACATAATTTATAAATTACTGCGAATGACAAGCACACCTTCTTATAATTCTCAATAAGGGAACAAAACCATTCAATGATAATTGTACAGGTAGTGTGGGTGTGAATATCTAATTTAATTTTGTGATAGTGTGGGGGTGATATCTATCCTACAATAACAATCGACCACGGCTCCAGACAAATTTCTTTTGGAAGGGGTTCTGATTAAATTTTAACAGTCTTTAGGCCTGTCCTCATCAGCTCGAGTTTGCCAAATAGCCTGCTATTTTAACTAGCCCAATCTCAAAATAGCCAACTAATCTGCGTCTTCATTAGCCTGCATTTGCAATTAGCGGGCTATTTGGTCGAGAAAATATCCCAAGAAATCTTGGTCTTGTTTTCAAAATAGCCCGCTATTCGTGGTCCATCTTCACCAGCCGGAAGACTCGCACACCTGATTTGTAACTTTGGGCTAATTTCCGAATCACAAAATAGCGAGCTATTAGGAAAACTCGAGCTGATGAAGTCAGGCCTCATATGTACAAGAAAAAATTGCCAAATTTTGGAGATCTGGACCTAGATTTTGGGCATCCATGTGCCCCTGACGCTTGTTAGAATCGAGCCCTGAACTGACTAATTTCATTTTAAAGGTAAAATCATGGCTTTGCTCTGATTACCATGTCCCAGCATCCGAAAGTACATACATGATGTACTAACAACATTTAGAATGAAATAGCTTTAAGGTTGCTGTTCACACTTGACAGTGACATCAATTCTATTCAAAGAAATACAAAATGATTAAAGGCATGTGTAAATGAAAGTTTGAGACAAATCTGACAAAAATAAGAAAGATGCAAAGTTTTACTCCTTCTAATTCACTGCATATTCAACGACTCAATGACTTTTTGTGATTCCCTTTGCCATCTACTCTCCACATGTCCAGACAATATTGATAACTTTTGCATTCATCTGTATATCTTACGGGGGATCTACATGCATGATAACATACTTCCAGTACTTCAAGAACAGATTTAAGATAAATTCTCTACGGAGAAATGGAAATTTCTGAAATCTTTTACAAAATGAGAGCCTGCTGGCGAGGGAAATCATCAGGCTGTTGCTCTCTATGTGATCGATTACAATTTTCAGATTTCGAAACTCCCTTATCCCCCGTCAATTTTCCTTAAACACTCACTGATAGGTTTCTCTCATTATTGAAATGAAGTTGATATCAGGACGGACTTTTGCTTAAAGATAATAAGAGTTCCAGCTGTCCAAGATACCTGTTCAATCAATTTACAGATGATAACAGTGAAGAAACAAGTTGACTTATAAAAGCGAAGTTAACAAAATCTCCAACACAAAAATATTCATATGTTTGAACAAAAATAAAAAAATAAAAAACTATTTACAAGTGTCGCAGTCGAGAGGTTAACTTTAAGCACTTGACTTTAATAATTAACATTCAAAAAGTTGTGGGTTTGATCCCCGACATGGCACTAATTTTCAATGGCAAGACATTAATCTGCATTTGCCACTCCATACCCATGATAGAAATGGGGACCTGATAGGATGAATAAAGCCTTTGTGTTAGTAATTACCATATGCCCTCACATTGGCCATATGGTAGGAATACTCTCCAGGGAGTGGAGATGGTGCACCTTGTGCGTGAATGAATCCGATGACCGGGAAAAATAATATCAGTAAAGCGCTAAAATAAATTCAAATTATGAATCATATATCTGATGTATAGATATACAGTTAACAAATAAATCTTTGACCAAGTTTTGTAATTTGTCAAGTTTGTTAACGAATTGATTTGTTAAGAATGTGACATAATAACGCTCATTAAAGCATTCTTAAATTTCTGTTAATTGTAGAGTGTAAACTATCAATATTTTTATTTACTTTACGTTTTTAAAAGTAATTTGTTAATGTCTGAAAATGTGTTTTTGTATTTGTATGTAATATTCATCTAATTTGCGAATACAGAAATAAAATTCAAACAAAAACAATTATCATATTCCCCATGGGCTGAAATACAAATCCTACCCAATTCCATTAGGCAATGCTTCAATATATATGTTTACTTCCAATCATAATGCCCGGTATAGTAGAGAATTTGTTAGCATATTCCCTGTATTTCTAGATATTTACTTAATGCCGTCTCACAAATGTGGGTCACAGCTAGCTCCCCACCTGCTGACTGGTTCCTTTAAAGTGGAACTGTCCTTTCCTAAGTTCAAATCTAAGTCTAGTATAATCTGTTCTCAGTACTGGATATTAGGGGTGGATTGAAACTATGTCAATACAACAACGGAAGCTCAGATCTAAGATTATTTTATTTCTTCTAATCAAAATGCCCAGAAATAGCTAAAATTAAACAGACCCAGTTGACATTTGGAGTTTAAAGCACTGACGTCATCGTGGATGCTGATGGCAGAGAAATTGAATAAGAATCTTATACTTTCTGACGTACACAAACAAACAAGGCCCTCTCCATCTGTAAGAGCTAGCATTAACATGACAACAGAAAGCACTTCCAAGCCAGGTACCCTCATGTCAAGAACAAGAAGGGTTTATGTTTGGCAAAGTACACTGACCCCCTTAATGTTCCAGACCCTGGTTGTTTTTCACATGCCAAAAATGAAATTGTTTGCTATTTTCTCCATAGTTCTTTGGTATTTCCTACAAAACTACACTTTTTTCTTCTATTTTCTGATGGAAAAATTGAAAACAGCCCCCCCCCCAAAAAAAAAAAAAAAAATCCAACACATTTCTCGGCTAAGGAATTGGAACAATAGATTGAATTGAAAATAATATTAAAACAAACATATATATATATAGTAAATGGATGTAGAACATTTTGGGGTTCTTGATGAAAATATGCTTGGGTAAGTATGCTTGTGCAAGCAAACCCTTTAATTCCAGTAACTTGAAGAGCAGATCTTTATTAATAGGGATGTTCTTTGGTTCATGATTAATTGGGGAAAACTGAGAGCAAGATTTCTACTTCAATAATCAAGTTTCCCCTTTAGGTTACATAAATCATATTTCTTGCAACCAGTACGCTAGTTATATTATCCGCTGAGTATACTAGGTAGAATCATGTATAGAAGTCAACGCCTTTCTTGCTCTCAATAGACAATAGTCCCATACTCAAACTTTGGTATGAGACTCACAAGTGTTGCACAAATCAGCTCCACCAGCCCCCCCCCCCCCACCCCCCACCCCCCACCCCTATCCCTTTTCAACCAATACTGATTTGTAATGCTTATAAGGTTGTATAATTAACAGGATTGATTGAAGAATGATCCTTTAAAAGTCATGAAATAATTTTCTAGAAGTCTGGGCAAGGCAAGGCCCCCCCCCCCCAAAAAAAAAAAAACAACAACAACAAAACAACAACAACAAACAAACAAACAAACAAACAAAAACATGAAGAGCACGGCAAGCAAAAAGATTCAAAAAAAAAGATGGGAATCCCAACCAAAGGTACTAGTTGAGTTGATTAATAACAACAGAATTAAATATATAAAGTAGACCCTTTGAAAGCTATTGGTATGAGATATTTTTCGAGAAATCTGTGCAAGCAAATGCAAAAGCCAAAAGAGAAATGGAAAAAGATTGCATACAAGAAATATGATTTCATAACCAAAGGGCTCTAATTGGTTTAATTAATAATAACAAATTTTCCTCTAAGAATATGAAACCTATATTGCAAGCTCCGAGAGCTTGGAGAGAGATTGATGGCTGATTAAGTATTAAAGGTCTGTAGGACACACAACATCAATCTTTAAAAGCGATTGACAGTCTTCTGAACAGGGGTAATGAATTAATGGAAATGGGTCAAAAATATATGGAAAACAAGGCCTTTGGTCAGATATCTACCACAGATATTATGTTCATCACAAAAAGTAGCTTTTGAAATGTCTTTTATATTATCAATGGCTTGCACGTGTGTTAAATTACCTTTAAAGGTATATTACAGTGGTCAGCCCTACATGATTTAGTAAATGAGATAATTACATTTCCTTAGACTTGTTTACACATTATGATTGAAAGATTTCCCCAAAAATGAGGAATTAAGTTAACGCTTTGAAAGGGTTTATACCAACCATCTTTAAAAGACTGATGATTTCAAAAACATAATTCTAAGTAGGAGCATGTCCAAGATTATGTTTCAAATGTGACATATCAAATCACAGCTAAACAAAAACAAATTACCAGTAGCTGATAATGGCATTTTTATGTCAAAGTTTGTTAATATTGTGTTGATCTGGGCCCAGTTGCATAAAACTTACAGTTGTTGGTATACTTTTATGAAAACCTTGATTTGATCGGCTGTTGAGTGATGTTGCCAAGGTAGTTAACAATGATGGCAAAGTTACAATCACTGGGAGTTGTATGCAATATTGCCAAAATGATTGCTGTGTGATACTTGGTTTGAGCTTTAAACTTCAAAGAATAGAGAAACGATGAGGGTGGAACAGAGTTTTAAAAATAAAGGTCGGGTTTAGGGTTAGGGTTTTAGGTTTAATGGTATAATCTTTTTTTCTCGAGTGAATTCTGTATCAGTGATTGCTGCCGAGTATACATATAAGGGATGTATTTATTGTTCGCCTTTGACTTGCTTGTACGCAGGTTCAGAAATAACCATCATTAGTATGCAAATTAGATTACTCACTTAAATTATTGACAGCTCCCTTTAAATGAAAAACGAGGAAATAAAGATGAACTAACCTTGTTTTCTTGTGGTTGCCAGGACGATGGCGACGATGACGACTGTGAGTAAGAGAAGAAGACATACAACAAGAAGTATCCTTTCTAACGTGCTCCTTTCCCACCATAGTTTGACGCTCACCGACTGCCCCTTCCATTTGGTTTCATTAACCCCCTTCCCCTTCAGGTGCTTGAAGCGGACCTCGGGAGGGGCGTTTGAAGCTACCTCCATTTTTCCTGTCGGAGTGTGAGTGGCCGAGGAATTGTTGGTGGCATTTGCCGCCGAGCCGTTGTTGGCTGCGTGTGTCTGTGATGAGGGATCCTCTTCAAAAACGTCATCTCCACCGCTGAGAGATGAGCGCTCATACTTCACCATCTGCACAGGGAGAGAGAAACGAGACGATACATTGTTTAGCGGGGATACAAGCAGCTGAAGATGTGTCTCCAATCAGGATTTTAATGATCTTTACCTGCTAACCATGTGAGGTATCAACCTGAGGGTCCCTTTATCGCATTGTCTGAACTATGGGGTCATGCATTTAGTGGTTGAAATCAAACAAACGTGTTGATTTGGTCGAGTTGAAGGAGAGATGGCGGTACTATTTGCAAGATGATTTCCCTCAGGATAGCTGGTTAGACTGAGTTTACCCCCTGGGAGAAATGGATCAATCCAGTAAAGTGATGTTAAAGACTCTAGTGAAGTGCTGGAGTAAATGCAAACCAAGGGAAGCTACATGTAGAGTGCGAGCCTGGTATCATAACAAACCCCGGCAAGAAATGTCGAGTACCTATCCTCCTATCTCTTTCCTTTACCTTTTCTCTCTTTCTCTCTGTCTCCAACTCTCTCTCTCTCTCTCTCTTTCTCTCTCTCTCTCTCTATTTATCAGTCTTTCCCCATGTCCCTCCCTTTCTTTCTACATTTATATAATTCTCATCTCCTTCCTAAGTTCCTCCCCCCCTCCTTTTCCTTCTTTTGTCTCTCTTTCTCTCTGTCTTTCTTTCTCTCTCATTATGTGTACCGGTATACATAAACAGGTAAATTAAACTGACCATCTGTTAGTTACAAGCATTGGACATCATAAAATATACCTCCACTGTACACCATCTCCATCTCACACTCTCTCTCTCTCTCTCTCTCTCTCTCTCTCTCCCTACTTTTTTCTCCTTTGGAGTTAATTCAACATCTTCAACTCTTGCACATGTAAAATCTTGTTCTAGTTACCTTCCCTTTGACATATTTTTTTTCCTTATCATGCTCCAATCATACACTTGTCTTCTTCCTCTCTTCAAAATCATCCAAATTAAAAAAAAAAAAAAAAAAAAAAAAACAGGATATATGTGTCGATATGGGAAGGTACACTATCAACTCACAAGGCATATCGATTTGTTACAACACCATGCTCTTCAACTTCCCAACCTTCTTATGGTATAAAATATTTGCTCCGTTTTCACAGTGATTTATGGCTGATCTCACCAAACCGCCTGATTACGTATTGAAAGGATGCACGCAGCTCTGACAATATGTCAGCAGTGGGCCCATTAGCAGCATGTAATTTATGACTGAAGGGCAGTTGAAGTCTCAGTGAGGGGTTATTGAAGGAAAGACATAGACCTAGATATACATAGAGAGAGATGCAGAGGGAAAGGGAGGGGGTATATTTACATGTTCAGAAAGAAAGTGAGAAATACAAGTAGAAATACAGAGAAAAAGACAGAGAAAAAGAAGGAGGTATTGAGGTTAATAAGGAGCTAGAGAGAGAGCAAAAAATGATAGAACTGCATGTAGCTCGTGAGAGAGAGAGAGAGAGAGAGAGAGGGTGGTTTTAAAGGAAACAGAGACAGGGATGGGGAGAGATAGAGAAAGAGACAAATAATAGGAGAGACAGATAATGGTGAAGAGAAGATGGAAATGAGAGGGGGAGGGGGGGGGATATATCAAGGGTGAAGACAGAGATGGGGGAGAGAAATATAGGAATTGGTAGAGAGACAGAGAAGAAGAAGAAGAAGAAGAAGAAGAAGAAGAAGAAGAAGAAGAAATTCAGATAACTCATGACCACAAGTACAACAGACATGCCAGAAAACAGATAGCTATGGAGTAAAAGAGAGAGGAAGAACAGGAGAGCAGTGAAAGCGAGGAAAAGAGTGAAGAAAGAATTGATGTGTAGCTTATTGTAAGCGCCTTGAGCACCCTCTGGGTGGATATGTTGGGCATTATAAATGTCTTTATCATTATTATTACTAAACAAGTATGAGAGAACGAAAGAAACTAGAGCAAGAGACAGTGAAATTAATTGTAGGAGCCACAGGCGATATCAAATCTACTTTAAAATTGTTCTAAAAGAGCTTTGTGTATAAGATACATGGATATATTGCCATGAGGAAATAGACAATGCTTTTTATACCAATATCTTTATATACAAGAACAAAGATGCTAGTACAATAAAAAGTAAAGTAATCAGTTATACTTTTTTCCATCTCCCAGGCAACCTGGGAATGATGGTCAACATTCAGTTCTTTATTGTGTGCTATCTTGCTGATTTTCTTTTTGAATGTTGCATGCAGAATGATAATAACAATAATAATAACAACAACAACAAAGACAACAACAACAAAGACAACAACAACAACAATAATAATAATAATGAATAATTGTTACAATGACTAGTGATAGGGACAAGTATTAACAACATACAGGATGCAGCTGACATTCAGTTACATTGAGAGAGAAGATAAAGGATGATCAAGAGGCATGATAGGAGTAAAATACTCAAGGTGTTCCGCCAACAACTTACTATATAGTCTACACTGATATTTGCTCCAAGCTTTATTTCACAGGTATTGACATGAGGCAGGGTTTGACATGAAAAACAAACACTATGAACATGACTGACAAAGAAAGCGGACAAAATATACAGTTCCTCAGGTAGACAAAGGAACTTCACTGCTATTATGTAAAAATGTGTAGAACAGGTGTCACATGCATATTCACCTTTTTACATAATAGTAGTGAAGGGATGTTCCTTTGTCTACCTGAGGAACTGTATATTTTGTCCGCTTTCTTTGTCAGTCATGTTCATAGTGAAAGCCTAGCACACATGCTACCTAATTCTTCCTGCATGCGGTCCCCTAAAATGTCTTATTTTATCAAATAGGCCCATATCATGCATAACGATCTTTAAAAAACAACAAAGAAATTGAGGCCCTACTAGTTCTCAGTAGATAGGTACATACTGTAATAATCTCAATAAAGTGGCAAATTAGGACAAATTACCATTGTATTCTGGGAGAGATACACACCTTGCATCTGTATATCTCATACAAAAGCACAATTAGAATATACTCACAACTATTTGGATGATTTCTCCCTCAAAAACAAATCACTGGCTTTCCACTCCAGCTACGTTTACCAACCACTTCCGAAAACTAGACACCACAACAGCCTACACAATCACCAGTGATTTTGAAGAAACTTGATAGGAAACAGTGGGCAAATCAGAGATGCTTCATGAACATGCACTGGCTTATGAAGAGAAAATTACCGCAACATGGCGAGACAAAGAAATGTAGCCAACTGGCTGAGAGATCGAGTCAAACAAATACTCTTTCAAGTGAACTTTAATCGTAATCCATCGAAGCTTAAGAAAAGGAATTCGCGTGGGTCGAAACGGTTGCCATGGAGCTTCCTCTATCATTCAAGAAATGAGTTAAAGAGTGGGTCGATTTGTCTCTGTCTCTACAAATGGCTAGGGAATGGAACTCTGTCTCAGATGGAAGGTTCAAATGTACATTATCCCACACTCATCCATTCATCCGTGAACTAAAGGGGAACAAATATTGCAAGTTCTTTTTAACATTTGCTATTGAAACTCAATTTGTGTAAATTGTGCATAATTCAAAGACCTTGTCAATTTGATGTTGTGTTTTTTGTATCTAAAGAATGAAAAGTGCACTAGTTGGATTAGGGCCTTTGTTGAATACTTTTTAGATGTAAGGTTTAGTATGTCACATTCTAAAGAAACACAAATGAAGACAAATGAATTTTTCACATACTAAAAACGTTACAAAACTTGGTAAAGGTATGAATAATTTTGTTGTTAACTGTAAAGTATACATGTACAACTTTTCTTGATCAGGCTTGGGGGACATGCAGTTCTTCTAGTGTGAAAACGCTACAAGCGCATTTAGTAACCTTACTACAATGCTTTTCTGATCACACAAAGTCTTCATGGTCTGAAAGATACACTTACATCAGTATATGTTCTGTAGATCAAAAATACAGTTCCAAACGAAAGAAGAACAAGCAAATTCTTACCTTAATAGCTGGATTCAGACTTCCTATTGTTATCTCTTATTTCCTGCAACCAACAACATTGAATGAGCAGGCAAGATGTGAACAACTCACACAAATACCCAGGAACCAAAGTCGTCTACATGAAAAACATACCTTCTCTTTTTCGTGAAGTAAGTGTTGATTTCAAGGCCAGTGATCAATAACTTAATCAGACTTCTTATTTCTATTTCTCATTTCCCGCAAGCATCAACGTTGAATGAGCGGGCAAGATGTGAAAAACACATACAGATATACCAAGGAACCAAAGTCGTCTACATGAAAAAATACCTTCACTTTTTCTTGGAAGTGTTGATTTCAGAGACAGTGATCAATAACAACCTCTACATGTACGGTATGTATATCCCTGGTGCATGGTACCAGGTACCAGAGTGTACTTTGATCTCAAGTAACGTACAGTACACAACAACAAAAAAGGGTAAATCGTTGTGAACCGCCCCACTTTCCATGCTAAGATATCATGTAAAGGAGAAAGGTTAACTTCACCAGCACCGGACAAAAAATAAATACTACATTTTCTGATTTCTCACAATACCTGAAGGTAAATGCCTCAATATGGATGGACTACAAGTGCTTGTAATTCAGACATCAATATAAATTTCTCTGAATAAGAGAGGATAAAAGTGTCAGTTTGGAAAAACTGCAACGAATACTGAAATCTGCTATAGATCTATCTCAGAATAAGAGGGGATAAATGTCTCATTTAGGATGATCTATGAGGCGGACTTTGTGTAGTCATCGTGAAATGAGATGATCAATGTAGGATGTACTATATATAATGTAGAGATCTATTGGGGCAGATCCAGGATTCTTTGAAAAGGGGGGGGGGGGGTACATGTCCAAATGATCTGTAAATACATGTACATGTAGCAACAAAAAAATATACTAGTAAGCCGTCAGCCTGTAGATCAATGCTATTTCTCTTCTTGTTACTTCTGTTTTCCCTATTTGTTCATATTTTTTTTTTTTTTTTTTTATTTATTTATTTATTTATTTATTTTTTATTTTTATTTATTTATTTATTTTTTTTTTTGGGGGGGGGCACA